AGCAGAACAGGCAAATCGACGAAGAACACTGCTGAGGGGAGCAGCGGGCGGGTCAGGAGAGGTCTGCTGCACCATGTGGTCACCTCCGAGGCAGGCGGGGATCGAACTCATGCAGAAGTGGCTTAAACTTCTCAGTGCAGTGCTTTAACCCGCTGCGCCACCAGGGAGGGCCTCTTTTCATTTTTTTATTGAAGTAACATTGTACTGTAACATCATACATGTTTTCAGTCTGTGTGGCTGAATCTGCAGGTGTAGCTATGTGAGGTTCACTAAAAGCCCAGTTCTGTCCTTCGCTGAGCCATTGTCCCTTTAGACTCGATTGACCTGCCCCCTGCCCTTTCTCTTCTCTTTTCTGGTACCCACGCGATGATCTCATAGTCTTAATTGTCTCTTTGTTTTATTCAGTTCATCCGTGTGTTTTCTCTAAAGGCCACCTATGAGTGAAATCACATGGTGTTTCTCTTTGTGTCTGGTTTCTTTCACCAAGCATAACAGTCAAGTCTTAACCTTTATTTCTAACTCAGATGGATGGCCTAGTGGTCCTCTTACAAGCAGTGGTCGGTTTCCTCGTGGCCCTTCCCAGACCTTTACATGGTGCTTGAGGGAAGGACGGCCCCTCAAGGCCCTCCTTTCCTTAGGTGCAAATTGCATCACAGAGAGGGAACTATTGATTGTCCTTGGCTTTCCACCTCTCCAAAAGCTGGCTTCCTATTGCAGAAAGAGCTGGGGCAGAAGGAGCGCCTCCTGCAGCAGCACCAGGCCAAGTTGGAGGAGGCTCTGAGGAAGCTCTCTGAAGCCAGTTACCAGCAGGTGGGGACACATTCAGCCACTGACCTTTCTGACCTTCTGGCCTGCAGCAATCCTTTTCTGAACGAGTCTCTGATTTGCAGGTGGATCTAGAGCGGGAACTCGAACACAAAGATGTCCTTTTGGCTCATTGCATGAAGAGAGAGCCAGATGAGGTAACTAACTGGAGCTCAGGCTGTCCCCTCCCACGTCAAACAAGGACAAAGAGGGAGACTTTTGTTTCTGATTTAGCACTGAACTCGGGCCAGTGGGTGGTTGTTTAGGCATCTCTGTGGGTGAGCAGGTTAAGAGCGCATATCCCAGGATAAGCACATTCAGTTTCCCATTCCTTCTTAACCATTTTCCCACTGTGTGACCTGAAGTTGCTTAGCTCAGACCCTTCCAGATCAGGCTCATTTAGAAAATGGAAATAATAGGCAGTGTTCCTCTCAGTCATCATCAGGAATGTGTGAGGTAGTCCATGTGAATAGCCTACACAGTCCTGGGAGATCCACCTGGCAGAGTCAGGCGCAAGAAGCCTTAGCATAGTTCTGATGGCTCTGCTGCTGCCTCGTAATCAGGAGGCAGTGGAGCATTCTCCCCTTCTCCAGAAGCCAGGCAGACGCTAGGTTGGAGGCCTCCAGGCTTCTGTTTCATTCATTCTGCATCCAACAGTGCTGCCCACGGACCAGTCCTGGAGAAACAGCACCAACAGAAGAGAACAATGTCTTTGCTTACATCATAAACTTGCCTTTAATAAGGAGAGCCTTACACAGGACAGCATTATTATTTCAAGAGGTGATAGATACGAAGAAGACAAAGTAACACAGGACAGCTCAGTGAGAAGCTCTTGATAACAGGCACCCTTTCTTCTTGCTGCTCTAGGTGACCAACTGCAACAGTCACAACTCTCAAAGCAACGGCTTTCTCCTCCCAGTGGCAGGGAAAGGAGCTGCCTCCATCATCCACAGAGGGGTATGTTTTTACGTCTGAGTACAGACCTGCCATCTCAAGCAGGATACAGACGAGCCCCCTCGCCATGGTGCGTGGAAGAGGCTTTCAGGTCCTGCTTCCCTAAGTCTTGCATCTCTCTGAGTGTGTAAATATATGAGGCATTTACCATCCAAAACTAAGAATTCCTAGGCCCACTTTTTTTTTTAAGACTTATTTTTTTATGCATACAGAACTGGGCTACAGGCCAGAAGTGCAGGGGTGGTAAGAGGATTCACCTGAGACAGGGTGGGGAGTAGAACAGGAAGATTGACCGAAATACACTGCTGAGAAGAAGCATCAGGAGAGACAGGAGAGGTCTGCTGTGCCATGTGGGTCACCTCCCTGGCCCGGGGTTGAACTCATGCTGAAGCAGCTAGCTTCACAGTGCTGCGCTCGAACCCATTGTACCACCAGGGAGGGTGCACCCTCGCCCCATTTCTATAGAGAAAAATACCTTACATTCTCACCTCCCTCCAAAGCAGCAGATTTCTGAGAACCTCCGCCCTGTTATTTCTTCAGCCCAGCTCTGTGGGTGGCTCTGTGGGTGGGGCTCATTCTATGGCAGCCGCCCTGCAGCAGCATCTGTTTTTTGATCCCAGACCAGTGACCTGCAGCTGGTTCGAGATGCCCTCCGCAGCCTACGCAACAGCTTCAGCGGCCACGACCCCCAGCACCACACCATAGACAGCCTGGAGCAGGGGATCTCCAGCCTCATGGAGCGCCTGCATGTCATGGAGACCCAGAAGAAGCAGGACAGGAGGGTAATCCTCTCTGGTGGTTCTCATAGGCTGGCTGCTGAAGGAGCTTAGTCTCACCAGTTTTTAAGTGTGAGCCTTCGGGAGTCTGAGGTGTAAGACCCTGCTGCCGTGAGACTTTGATTTTCCCTCCCATGGAGTGACTCCTGTGGGTTCGCAACCCAGGGAGGGAGTTTCTGATAAGTCTTGCTCCTAGAAACTGCACAGCTTCCTAAGGAATTGTGGTTTTTGCCCACTCAGGGCCTTTCTTCACTGCTTATTTCCCCACTGCTTCTCCCCAGAGGATCTTGGTGTTGGATGAGACAATGGGCAGGAACTTGCACTGGAAGCAGAGTCTTTTATAAGTGTACAGTGTTACCATTGGGATAAATATGTCCCATTTTATAGACTGTGGAGGAAGATGGGGTAGGAAAGTATGTATTTGAGATGAGCTATTATGATTTAAAGTTCCACCACTGATCGTGACTGTGATTTTTGTGTGGCTCCCCAGGTTCGGGGCAAGTCACCCAGGACACAAGCAGGCAATGACTACTGGGAGTCCTGGCCCCCCAATTCAAGTAAGTGCTCATCATTGCTCAATAAGGATGGCTAGCATTAGGTCAAAATTGTAGTGACGCTCCTGCTACTGATATTTTTGGAGATAGAATTTTTTTCTGGTCTTACTTCACTCTTATGCTACCTTGTTTCTGTGGCAATGCTAGAATTGAGTTATCTCTAGGACATGAGGCTACATATGTGTCGTTGCCACCGTCACCCAAGTACCACAGAACCACACACCCAATGATGCTGACGAAGAGGTCACAAATAGTCTTAGAAAATACTCAAGTTCAAAACATTTACACCACACCAAGCAAAATATAAGACAAGATATGTTCACATGTCACCTGACCGTCCTAATATCACACATCTCAGAGTGCAGAGGTTTCATGTCTTTGGGGATTTTCCTTAAAACTTTGAGTGATTAGATCATTCCGTTTAAATGCTCCAAAATATGTGTGCCACCTGGTGGCCTTGGCTAGGAAGTATGGTTTAACCTGTACCTTGCTCACTCGCTGAATTTTTTTCCCTGCTCATTACAATATTTTGGTATTCTACCCTACCTGGTAATTTCTATTTTGCGCTGTATCTTAATGTTTGGTTTAATAACACTCACATGTTCCTATCTTTTATTGTTTACCCATACCTAATCTAAAAAGATCTAAATAACTTGTAAAAAAAGAAAAAAAAAGCAAATAGTAAAAATCTGAGCATAACCTGTTTTGTATGTGACACAGACAAATTTGAAACCACATTAATAAAAAAACTTAAAAAATGCTTAAGTAAAACACTTAAAATATTTGCACAATTTTTAAAGGTAAAATATTTTTTGTAAAGTTAAATAAATTAACATTCTTGAGACTCCAGCTATCTCTTCCTTTTGAAAGATGTGGCTAGAGTGGGAATGAAACAAATTACATTAGTGCCCAAAATTGATTTCGGCTTCTTTTCCTAGCAATTGAAAAATTAGCCACTTCTGTTTTCTTGGGATACTTAATTTCATTGTTATACTCTTCAGTATGTTCTTTAGGTTAGTACAAGCTGATAACATACTTGGAAATTCTTTCTCAGAAGTCTAATAAATTCTTCCCTCTTTGGAGAAATTCTTTTGTGTATATGCAACACTTATTTAAAATCCTACAAATAAATTCACAGCTTCTTGTAAGGTGTTCTCGAGGGTGTTGATCTAACATCTCTGTTCACAGATAAGCTATCAGGCCTCACCTCTGAAAATACAAAACCATGTATAACTTACCTTTTACATGAAAATATTTTCTAATTTATTGCTCTTTATTTATTACATCAAGCTTCTTCAAAGGATATTCTACACTTGCTCTTTTTTCATCCCTCTTCCCACTAAACCGCTCAAGCCTCTAGTTGAACTTCTACGCAAAGCAACTCCGCTTTGTTGGTCACATCACTGTTGACTTTGTCATTGCCTTATCAAAGGAGTTACTTTTTAAACCCCACCTTCTACTGACTTTGCAAAAGTGTTTGTTGTTCTTGAATAGTCTCCAGGAGCATTCTCCTTTACCTTTACTGCCAGCCACTTACCCATTGACAGACATTTATTGAGCATCTGTGTGCAGCCTGTGTTAGACTCCGGAGGCACAGAGATGAGCATGATGAACTCAGCGCTTATCCTCATGGGATTCACAGTTCAGGGACTAAATATAGTCTCCCTTTTTTCCGCCGCTTCTGTGTAACCCTTGAATGTTGATGGGCCCCGGGATTCCCTCGGAGGCCTACACCGCAGTCTTTCATGTTCCCGCTAGACAATCCCTCTTACTTTCATGGTTTCAGCTATTCTCGTGTACTGATATTTTTGCACACTCACCTTTCGCTTGATCCTCTTCTGAGCTTTGGGCTGAGAATGTAGACTTATTGTATAACCTAGTGGCTCTGTTCCAACACAAAAAATCAGCTGCTTAAAAAAAAAGCCTTGTTCATAAGTTCATAATAACTTAATAACAATGTTCATAACAAGATTACTCACAGTAGTTAAAATGTGGACCCAACCTAAATGACCATTCCCTATTGGCTGGATAAAAAAATTCTAGTATGTGCATGCATAGAATATTATTCAGCCTTACGAAGAAACAGTGCAGATACTTGCTACAACATAAATAAACTTGAGAACATTATGTTAAGGGAAAGATGCCAGGCTCAATGGAGTTCAAATTGGATGAATCCTTTGGAGAGGAATCTGCAAGTGAGTACAAGCTCCTCCTGCCTCTAGGGCTCCTATACTCTCTGCCCCACTTTTTACAGTGCATTTAAAATTTAGCCCAATACTTACGTGTTTATGGTGGCCTCACCTTCCGCCCGTGCTTGCCACAAGTAAGCTAGGGTTGGCATCCTGTCTCCTTGGGGACACCTGTTTGTGTGTCAGGCTAGTTGGTTGCCCTATGATCTCGTCTTTCCAGTGGGCTCAAGAAAGTTACTAGGTTATCTGGCTGTTAGACTCCTTCAGTCTTCTTTGTCCTAGGCAGAAGTCAGAAATGTATGCCTTTTTTTTTTTTTTTAAAGATTTATTTATTTATTCATACAGAACTGGGGTACAGGCCAGAGGCTCAGGGGCGGTGAGAGGCTTCACCAGAGACAGAGTGGGGAGCAGAACAGGCAGATCAACGAAGTACACTGCTGAGGGGAGCAGCGGGTGGGTCAGGAGAGGTCTGCCGCGCCATGTGGTCACCTCTGGGGCAGGCGGGAATCGAACTCATGCGGAAGTGGCTTGAGCTTCTTAGTGCTGTGCTTTAACCCGCTGCGCCACCAGGGAGGGCCATGTATGCCTTTTTTAAACTCATTTTTTTTAATTGAAGTAAAGTTACATAGCATAAAACAGACCATTTTAACCACTTGAAGCATATAATTGTTCTGTGGCAGTTCTATACAGTTCTTCTAGAAAATGCATTTTGTCTTATGCTCATACCCCCTCCACCATTTCTACTGAACACAGATGTAGAAAAAAGAGAGAAAAGGTATAAAGATTGGAAAGAAAAACAAAAACAGCCTCTATTTATAAGTAGCATGATGGCACAGAAAATATGAGAGAATTGACAATAAGCTACTATAACTAGCCAGGGAGTTTTGCATAGTCATAGAACCTGAGTTAAAAAAAAACAGGTCAACATACACTAACTCACTTGTACTTTTTCTATCTACTAGCAATGAATACTTGGAAATAGAAAAACAATGAAAATACCAGTAGTAGTGGTGCTTTAATAATAGCACCAGAAGAAACTAAATACTTTGTTGTAAAACTTACAAAATATGTACAGCATTTTTATGCTGAAAGCTACAAAGTAGTGATGAAATAAAAATGATGACAGAGCTGAATGTTATAGATTGAATACTCACGTAACTGTGTTAAGGTGAATGAATACTCAGCTGTATTAAGGTGATCCATTCCTCCCTAAGTGATCTACGGTTTCCATGCAGTTCCATCAAAATCCTTCCAGGCTCTCTGTAGGTTAAAACAAGCTCGTCCTAAACTGTGTGAAACGATAAAGGAACTAGAATCACTTCAGAACCAAAGTTAACAAAGAAGAACAAAGTGGTTGGAGAACCACTATGTGGTTGGAGAACACTATGTGTTGCCCAAGCTAACGATAAAGGAGAGTGGCAGGAGAGTGAAAGCAGAAGGATGCACGCATACCAGGGGCACAGCAGGGTGCAGAGTTTAGGAAAAATTGAAATAATCTACTCGGTCAGTTCATTTTCAGTAACAGCGCAAAAGCTTTTCAGTGGCAAAGAGAAGGCTTTCAACAAAAGTCACTGATCCTGAAACAAAGACCTCAGGGGAGGGGGTGACCCTACCTCACACCATATAAAAGAATTAACTCCAAATGAATCAATCATCAACCTAAACTTGAAAGCTAAAAACGATATGTGGTACCTTTTAAAATCATGGCTAAATTTCTACACATACACACAAGTGCACACATGCATGTACACACAGGGTCATCTCTTCTGGCTTCAGGGCCGTACCTCCCCTGTCTGTATCTCTCAGGCTTTTTTAGTTGCCTCTTACTGATTTCCAGAGTTTCTCTGATCCAACCCTTACTTTGACTTGGCAGCTAAACTGACCTTTTTGAAATACCAGTCTGATCATATGACTCCCTTTTAGATTATCTCCATAGCTAGCAACTAACATCTGGCAGTTACCATGGCAAGTCTTTTGTGGCCAGGCCCCTCCGTAGCTGGCAGTCTTCATCTGCCAAACCTCCCAGTGTCCCCTCCTGCTCCTGCCTTCCTTGCTTACGTTCAGTGTCACATATTTCATGCCTTTATTTGAATCCTCCCTCCCTCTTCTTGGAAATGCCCTTTCCAACTTCTCTGATGATTTTTCTGAGGTTCTTTGATTAATGAGTATGGACCCTTTCTGACCGCTTCCTAGTGAAACAAACCACTTCATTTTCAGTCTTACTGTACTGTTTGTACATTTAATTTAGGGAACTCTAATTATTTGTAATCATCTCTTTTGTATCTAATATACTCCTTGTCAGAGACCACAGAGTTGATTTTCTCAAAATCTAGCACATAGTAGGTATTTTATAGTAGGTATTTGTGCAATGCAAAAAGTCAGTGATAGAACTTGATGCTTAAAAAAATGAATATTTTGTTTTATCAACCAGCCACGCACTGTTCTTGGGGCTGGAATCAAAGCAGCAACATGGCATACTGTAAGGTTTCAGTAACTGGTGTTCTTTGAAGAAAAATTCTTAAAACCGAGTGTAATTGCTGTTCCAAGAAAGAATGTTTTGTGTCTCTCCCTTGTATTAATTCATCATCCATAGTTTCCCTGATTTAAAACCCCTTCCGAGTACTGCTTCCTGCAGCTGCCAGGTCTGACTTTGAACAATGCCCAGAATAATAGAGTAGGTGGAAGGGCAGGACAGAGTTTAATGCGAGCTGGCATTTGTATTTGGGCTTTATGCTAAGAGTTTCAGACTGGTCTTTTCTCCTCTTCTTTTAAAGTCATGATCACAGTACTCACTAATTATATTTCTCTGTGAATACCTCCACAAACAGTAGAGCCCAAATGTGAATCAAAAAGCCTGAGTTAAAGACACACAATAGATCCTTTGTAGCTAAGGGATTAGGTATATCTTGTAGCTTTGAGACTTGAAGCACAAGTCCTGTTGGGACCTCATTTTCTAAGGTTACTTTGCTCCAGCTTATTTTCTTTTCCATGGATCATGTGAGCGTTCTCCATCACTGACCTCCAGGATCTAAGTGTTGACTGCAGTTCCCATTCTGTGTCTGTTCTCCCCAGCTGAGTGAGATCTTGTCAGACTTCCTCCCCAACCTCTTTTGACTCTTAGCAACAGTGCCTGTCGGCTGCTACTCCTTTGCTAGAGATACTTGCAATGAGTGAAAACTGACAGTCCTTGTGACAGTGTTCAGGTCTGAAGCAACTCTTGCCCCGGCCCTGGTGGGTCCTGCAGGTCACAATCTGTGGAGTTGGTTTGGCAAGGGTGCGAGGACTGTGTTGTAACCTCAGTGTCATTCTCTTGGGGCATTTCGAATTTTTGGAAGAAGTGCAGGATGGTGGGGAGCAAATAGAAGGTTCTCATCACAAACCCTCTCTCGGATTGCAGAGTTGCCTCACTCCCAGAGCTCTCCAGCCATCAGCAGCGCCTGCACTAAAGTGCTGTATTTTACTGACCGGTCACTTACGCCCTTCATGGTCAATATACCAAAGAGGTGAGCTTCTGGGATTGTTATCTCTCATTTAAAGAGAACAGGACAGCAGAACTATTAGTTACTGGCCACCTGGGCAGCCGAAAGGTGTTTGGGAAGCAGTATGGTATAGCGTGAGGGGCAGAAGATATATAAGATTCTAGTTCTCGCTTTACCACCAGCCAGCAGCATCACAAGAGACAAGTCCTGATCCACTGCTTGATACAGACACAGTAATAGTGTTTCAGTGCTGGTAAGGAGGCAGATAATCTCCAAGCTAGGAAGAACAAATTGTAAGTGCTCCAAGCAGCTCTTACTGAATGCCAGAACTGCAGCCTGGCCCTCCAGGGCTATGGTATCTCTTGTTCTTTTGTTTTGAGAGTGGAGATCCTCAGGAGAGTTCATGTTAAAACCTTAAACACTTGTTTGATATACTCCCTCCTCAAGGAAATTGCTCTGAAATAAAGATCTTTATAAACTCTGGAGCTATTGCCTGAGAGAGGTGATAAGATTTTCCTTTGCTTGAGAATCTGCTGACTTGATGTAGGTTGAAGGCAAAAAGACAAAGATGTTGATCCATGATTAATCATACCGACAGTTGTTCAACAGATTAGATTTCAGAGACTTTGTGTTTTATTTCCAGAGAAAGAGAAGTTACTTGGTGGTTGCTGAAACAAATCCATTCTAAGTTCTCAGATCACCCCATACATAAAGTCATTTTCCTCCCTAGTGGTGACTGGCTCCCTAGAGCCTTTGCTGGGTTAGAAGCTTCTAGGTCATCAGGGCAGTGACCCACAAGGGCATGCTTGTTCTGCCCAAAGAGACTTTGGCAGGGGCTTCAGTTTAAAGCTAACATTTTTTCTTTCCAACCTATTGCTAAACAGTCTGTTTTCATGCTTGCTTGTATTGTTGCAGGTTGGGGGAGGTGACACTGAAGGATTTTAAAGCAGCTATTGACCGGGAAGGGAATCACCGGTATCACTTCAAAGCGCTGGATCCGGAGTTTGGCACTGTCAAAGAAGAGGTACACAATTCATGAGGAGCCTGGGTGATTTCCCCTGAACCCTAAAGCTTCCAATTCAAGAACTAGTATCTAGAAGTACCTGAGTTCCCTAACCAGTTCCCTAGCCTTCCCATATATGGTAAACCAATAGTGAATCAATAAGTTAATTTTTAAAAAATGGGCTTCAACTTTTCTCATTCTATCACCACAGCGAAAGCCCTTGTAATAGCCCACAACCCAGAAATCTCTTCTGAAACATTTATATTTGGCAGATGAGTTATAAAAGAGACGTATATTTCCATGAGCCTGAGGTCAGGGAATGGTCCAAATTTCTTTCGTTCAAGACTTAATCACTTTGACCATAAATTGGTTAGAATTTCTATTTTAGGCCCTCCCTGGTGGCACAGCACTGCAAGCCAGCCACAGCCACCTCAGTGCGAGTTCGATCCCCAAATCTGGAGGTGACCCAGATGGCACAGCACACCTCTCCTCACCCGCCCGCTGCTCCCCTCAGCAGTATCTTTCAGTACATCTGCCTGTTCTGCTCCCTACTGTGTCCCAGGTGTATCCTCTCAACCCCCATACCTCCGGCCTGTACTCCAGTTCTCCTATGCATTAAAAAAAAAAAAATACCAAAATTTTCTCCTTTTCTCTCTTTTTTAATGCTTATACTACTGCTTTCTCCTAAGAAGCCCAAAGTGGTCTGCCATTAATAACTCATTAGTTACGAATCTTTATAAGCAAAATAATGTTAGGAATGTCTTCCCCACTCCATAGATGTGGAAATAAATATTTGTAGATGTATTTATATCTATAGATACATTGGTATAAGTATATGTAAATACATGTATATGCATAAAAACACATATTTACACACATAATAACTTTAGGGATAAATACCTAAAGGACACAGACTGAACTGAGTACAAGTTCCCTGTACTTTTTTCACTTTTATGTTTGAGGCCTTATGTTTCCCAATAGCAGTTATTGAGTGAGACTCCCTCTCTTGCTGTTATTTTTTCATTGTGGTTTTTTCTCCTCTCTAGGTTTTCCATGATGATGATGCCATCCCTGGATGGGAAGGGAAAATTGTAGCCTGGGTAGAAGAAGACCATGGAGAGAATTAATGCTGAGTTTTAGGTGGGGAGTTGGCTCTCCCTGGCTGCTTCACTCAGGAAAGAGGACTAAACCCAGAAAACACTAAGAAGTTTCTAGTTCGTGCTGCCAAAACAGAAGCTTCTTCAAGTGTGACAGCCATAGGCCAGTTCTGTTACTGGGCCTGGCTTACATGGTACTTGAAATCCCCGGCTTCGTGTAGACCATGGTTTCATCTGGAATTCCTTGTCCATGGGAATGTGGAGTTTTATTCTCCTCTGAGGACAACAAACCGGAGGCCTTAACCCGTGGGGATGGATGCTCCCGCTCCGGTTGGGGCGTGGCTGCTGGTATCCAGACACTGGGAACTGGATGCATCACTCTGGTGTGTTACAGTATTGTTTCACTTGGCCTCGATGGTTGCAGCAATCACAGTCCCAGCATTTGTACTCCCAAACAAGGCAAAGGTACCAACTTTTCTGCTTCTTTGCAGCTACTACAGACCAAGAGTTAACTCATGAAGTGGTACCAAAGATGAAGCCCACTTTTCAGTTTCTTTTCATGGATGGAAAAAGGGCTGGCCATATTGTGCTATACCATGCTAACACATAACTAAGACAGACCTTGGGCTGCCTCTTGCGTGTTACCTGCTCCTGCAGCTTGTCCTTCAGCCCACAGAGGGCCCATTTCATGTACTGCTAGTTTTCTCTGGGGACTCTTAACTTTAGAGCCTTTTTTTTTTCCCCTCCATTCCAACTGATGAACTTTGTGTTTGAAAGAAATAAGGAGTGAAAGACTCCTAAAAATCCAGGCGGGTATGAAAAGGTGCTGCTACCCATATCTTCTTGACTTTCTTCCTCTTACGACTTTCTTTAGCTCATGGCATCTCCTTTACAGTCAAAAGGAGATAGGCCATTAATTTCAGTATTTGTGATTTATGTTTCTTGAGCATGAGTTACTGGTCTGTGCCTCCTCATTTCAAGACCAGAATTATTTTTTATTATATATTTAGGCCAATTCTTTAGGGCACAATAGAAACCATGGGGCATGGAGCATGGGTTGTGAATGGCAGGGTTGATTCTGGGTAAAAAATCCCTAGAATCCTTTCTCATGTGCAACATTGTCAAGTGTAGAAGCTAAAAGAAAAGTTAAACTTCCAGAGATTATGAAATAACTTGGGTTTTCTCATTCATTTGCCAAGTACCATCAACCAATCAGCAATTTCATATGTGTCTGTATATATGGACATATTTATATGTCTATATATCCAAAAGCAGTCTGCCTGTGACCACCGACGTACACTGCCAACCAGAAGAGGCAAACAGTCAATCCGGGGTTCTTGACCTGTCTGTCTCTAGTTCATCTCCCCTGTCCAGCCATTTCAGCAGACTACTGGCGCTGACATTGTATTGTTTTATATAGATGTGTCTTTCTAAAATAGTTCATGTTTGGGAAATTCTTTTGTACTCATTTGCTTTTCATCTGAGAATCACGTCTATTTTTATAACTTGAGTGTGAGTCCCGTATATTCTCACATTCTGTGTACCGTATCCACTTTCTAGGGAACCCAGTAGCTTTTATACAGGCTCTTCTTACCAGCCCTTGTGGTTTCAGAACAAGCTTTATTTTATTACAAGTATATTAATGACAACTAACTCCTGTTCCAGTTCTACCTGCTATTTTTGTTGTGGAGGTAGTTTTACATATCTATTTGATTGCGCCTCTAACAGAGAGAAGGAGCTTAAGACACCTGATGTCTTCCATGTAAGCTTACTTGGTCTTCTCCTGTTGAAGAATTTCAGAAAAGACTAGGAAAGTTGTCAATTGCAGGAATAATTCATTATGAAAGCAAAGAGAACAACAACAACAATGTATTCTGTTTTTTCTGCAGTAAGTCCAGAGAAAAAGTCTTCATGTCTCTGTTGCATGAATTTTAATGTTTTACTATAAACCAGCATGAGGGTTATCAGGCCAAAATCTGTTATTGTATTTCCCATATAGTTTATCTTGAATGTCTGCCTCTTAAATGAGTTTTTCCTTGTCTGTTTTCTTTCAGCCAACAGTTTTGTGATTATGTAGAACTTAAAGTTTTTGGAGAAAGTTAAATCGAAAAAATGTCAAAGTTCTCAATCTCATTTAACTCTATGTCCTTTTCAAAAGCTGCTGCATGGCCTCAGTGCCTCCCAAAAAGACTGAAGTTGAGTTCAGGGGGGAAAATGAGATCACCCCCCCCCCCCACCTTAGTTCATTAATCTCAAATGCCATGGGTAATGACTAAATATCCCTTACAGTATGTCACTCCAGTAATTCTTGTGTAAAATGTGTTGGTAATCCTTTTTCCAGTTTCTAGACACAGGAACTTGCTGAGGAGTGTGCACTGATTCATTATGGTTTCCTGTTTGCTGCCCTGTGGCTATATGCCACACTTGGCCTCTCACTGATTTGGATTCTTGTCCCCTATTTGTGTCAAACGGTCCATCAAGAACTACTGCTGAAATTTTCTTTTCCTTAAGCAAACTGAGAAATTAGAATGTTTATATAGAGCTCATAATCTCTGAATGGTTAGATTAAAAAGAACCTGACGCTCTTATGAAACCTAGTCTGATAGAAAGCGCAGTTCCTTTAAAAGTCTTTAAAAACTGAAGACTGTTCTCCACTGTTTCCTAAATTAGCTGGAATCAGAACACTTTACAACTTGTACCTAAATTATTTGGGTTAAACTTACTTGGTAATAGCAATCCTACTTACTGAGCAGCTTGCCAGCTTTTTGACCAGGATGGTTGTAAATTGGGGAAAGTATCTTTATGCTCTCCATCTAATCCAGAGGACTCTACTTAAAAACATGTAGGTCATACTTATAATTATTTTGTTTCACAAAACAAGCATTATGATTGCACACTCCTCCTATTGTCTGAATTTATGTAAGAGGTATAGCTCGCTTAAAATACATATATATGTAAAGTTATATTTTCTTAGAAACATGGATGTTTGCAACAGTTGTTTTCAGAAATTATTAATTACCATGTATTCCCCGTTTTACAATGCTTTCATGAAGATTGTGTTATACCAGAGACTTCTGATTATCAAAGTGATAACCAGTTTTAACTGCCTGTATGTACCAGATTTATGAACTAATTAAAAAAGAAAAAGCAGAACTATGAATAAAATAGGGTTTGCAAACCGAGTACCATTAATCGTTTTCACTTGTGTTTATTGACGGACCCTAATCAATAAAGCTGTCTACCAAAAGTGAGAGCAAATTTCCTCAAGTGATCTCCCTGGTAGCATGTTTACTCATTACTTGGGCAGTGGAGATAAGGGTTACTTTATTGCTACAATTTTTTTACTATTGGTATTTCTAATGTAAGCACAAAATAAGTCATTGTTAGCAAAAAAGAACTCACTTATTAGTGCTTTTTTGAAATTAAATGTAAATATGCACATAATTGATGTAAATTATATGATGCCAAAACAATCTCTAATGCAAACACAAAGCAACGTTGTTAACAAAACTTTCAGAAATTTATTTTTTAAAGCAACAGAACTGAGGCCTCTATGGTGGCGCAAGAGGTAAAGTCTCAGCACTATGAAGCTACCTGCAGCCACTGCAGCACGAGTTCAATTTCAGCCAGGAAGCTGACCCACATGACACAGCATGTTACTGGGCAAGAAGAATGGGGCACCCCTGAACCCCCAAACGTGCCTGCTCCAAATAGGTTCTGCCATCCGCCACATCAAGACAAACATACGACTTTAATGAAAAGGGACTTTAATACAGTGAGTACAGAGGGCAAAGACTATAATGTGTTTGCCCTTCAGTTACCCATCTCATGGGTAAAAAGTACACCCAAAAGCAAGGCCCGAAAGCCCACCATAAGACTAAAGCACCTCTGGCTGGGACCCACAGAAAAGGGTCAGAAATGGCCAGACAAGTCTGGGAGGAAAAGAGAAAAATCAAAATCAATATAAACACTGCCATAGTCACCTCCCCACGGGTCTCTCACCCACATCTGCTTTAACCAGTCCAGGGCCAAGAAACAAGCACGGTTTCTTCATCACATGCTTACTGCTCCATGTGCCTTCCTCAGTTCTTCTGGCTCTCCATCCTGCTTTCTTCTTCCTCTTCTCAGATTCCTTCTCTCCTTTTCTCTGCTTAGCTCCACCCTCCTTCTGGGTGGGGCAGGGAACCTGGAACTTCCCCTTTTCCTGGGGACCACCCTGTTACAAACAGACCTCTCCCTATCTCAGCCACTGCTTCCCCTCAGCAGTGTATTTTTGTTAATCTGCCTGTTCTGCTCCCCACTCTGTCTCTGGTGAATCCTCTTACCATCTCCATCTCCCCATCTCTGGCATACCCCCCAGTTCTTATATGCATAAATAAATCTTTAAACAGAAAAAACCCCAGAATTTCCAAATTAATTTGAAAGCTATCTTCTTAAGACTTAAGTAGACTTGTAGGCTTTATCATTTCAATTTAAATGTTTTGCATATTGAAATCTTTAGCCCTACTTGACTTCCAACTACATGTTTTCAATTACTAATTACAGTCCATTTTAATTAGGTTATGCCAGCATGTTAAATGCGTAAAGAGCTTAATTTAGACTCTTTCATTACCAGCTAGTTCTTCTAGGAGGAAGTCTGGGAGGAAAAGAGAAAAATCTACCTATTGCATATCAGTGATTCTGTGAATCTTAATATTTCAAATCCTAAGACTTTTGAGTCTTCCTTTTCATTAATTTATCCAACCTGTTTAGAGGATTTCAGACCTATTCAGGTAGAAATGATTTCACAAACCTAAGAATTCCTCAACTACTTCTAGGGTTAAAGTACCACTTCTGGACTGTATGAATATGCCCTATAATTAGCTACACTTTTCAAAATTGCTACCCACTGAAAAATGTGAAACATGGTTTTAAGCAAGCCCATTTAGGGAAGTGAACAAATTGAAGATCTCCTCATAAAAGGCTACTTTAGATCTAATTAAATTAAAACAGTGGAAAAAGCAGTGGAAGTAGTAAGATACTGTAGCCCATTCAAAATTGACATTTTTATAACATGTCCTTTCACTAATCATAATTATTCTTACAGTGCTTCCAAATGTCATTATTCAGTTTTACCTAACTTATATTTTACTATTTTTAATATTCCTTTCCAGCTAACCTGAAAATTTTTTCTCAATTGTATTGCCTGCATATGATTCTGTTAGGCAGATGTGCTTGCTATTAATCTTTTCCTCATTTTTGGATAGTTAAGTTTTCCCAATTCTTTCTCTGTTATAAAGATAGTAAACATTTTTTTAAAATTTATTTTACTTTTTTTTAGTAAACATTTTAAAATGCTGTTTCGAGTGCCTGAAAGATGCTAGAGTAGGACTTTGGGGAAAGATGTAAGCTTTTTTTCCTGCTTCTTGGCATTTCTACAAGCAATATTCACTGTCCCTAAATGAGTATTTTTCTCTGCAATCTCATAAACGATGAGACTCAATGTTTCCAATTTAAGTAAGTATGAAATAATACCTCTTGGCTGTTTCCCTTTTACAGATACATTATTAGTGAGGCTGAATTTGTTTTCAAATGTTGTTTTTTCCTTTTGTTCTTGATGTTCTCCGACGATTTTGCCACCAGAGAGTTGGTGCTATAAATACAGCCCATGCTTCCTCTTAATAAAATGTCACTGAGCTGAAATATTTTCTAATTATAGGATGATAATCCGGCAATACAAGTGACCTAACGAAGTGTAGATAACTTTTCTTTTGCTAATTCAAAAGACGTTTACTCACCCCCACGATTTATCAGATATTAAACTGGGATACATCGACCACCAATCGACATGCTTCCAGCCCTCCCCGGCTAAGGGCTTAGTTTTAGTACGAAATAAATCAAGCATTAACAGAGCTTTGGCTCTTAAAGGAATTCTTCTGTGAATCATAGCCGCACATCTGCTTTGTAACCCGTCCTTAATACAGGGACTCTGCTTAATTCTGCTACAAGAGTTAGTAAAGGTGGGAAAGGACCTTCCTCTTGGCTGCCCTTCACACCACAGGGCTTGAAAACCTGTTCCCTCCGGTTTCTGGCTGGGCTACATCACCACCACCACCACTACAAACCGGAAACGAGGTCTCCGTAAGCCTTAACAGCCGGCCGGAGGGACCCACAGGCCCTCAGGGCCCGCGCAGGCGGCGGGGGTGCCTCGCAAACGCCGGTTCCGGGACCTGCGGCGTCCCCCACCCCCGCGACCCCAACCGCAGCCCCCGCTCCCCCAGCCCTGCCAGCCCCGCGGCCTCGGGCGGTGGGCGCCACGCCGGGCTAAGGCTCACTTCCCGGCTTTTCCGCACAGCGTGGCCACACCCCTCAGCCCACCGGTCAGACC